CACAATTCAAAGGCCTCAATCCTTCAGCGCTCAGCCTTCCTTATGGTCCAACTTTCACAGCCATACATATTTATTGTTGTAAGCCGCCCCGAGGCTTCAGCGAATGGGGCGGCATAAAAATGTTTTAATAAAATAAAAAAAATACATTGCAATTGGGAAAACCATAGCCTTGATTATACGCACTTTTGTCGGCAGGGTGATGTCTCTGCTTTTTAGTGTGCTGTCTAGATTTGCCATAGCTTTCCTCCCCAGGAGCAAGCGTCTTTTAATTCCTTGGCTGCAGTTCCCGTCTGCGGTGATCTTGGAGCCCAGGAAAATAAAATCTGTCACTACCTACATGTCTTCCCCATCTATTTGCCAGGAAGTGAGAGGACCGGAAGCCATGATCTTAGTTTTCTTAATGTTGAGTTTCAAGCCAACTTTTGCGCTCTCCTCCTTTACCCGCATCAAGAGGCTCTTTAGTTTCGTTGTCATTCTTCAAATATCCCTCAGAGGAGGCTGTTGTGGGACGGCCTCCGAATTTGCTCACAAGGTACAGGTAGGTTCATTCCAGGTAGGTTCATACTGGGAGAGGCATTCCACCAGGTACTGTATTTCTAAGTCAGGTATGGCTTTATCAGTTAAAACCAGCCCCCAAAATTAGGCTCAGAATGTTTAGGCAACCAGCATTGGTGTTAAAACTCAAACTTTCTAGTCCCTGTTATCTATCCAGCTGCTGCATTTTGCACGGTACCCATTCCAGCTGATCATGCCTTGTCAAAATAGGGATGGAGAATCGGTCTCAGTTTCACATGAGTTTGGTCCTGAAGCCATCTGATTTCTGCACCGATCTGCGAACAGTCACAGGAAACTAACTCTGCATCATCCAACACTTGCAGAGTAGAAATTAAACACTCCCAGGGCTGAGCCAGAATACAAGCGGTGATGCTCCGTTCTGGAATGGGACAGGGTGTCAAAGCGCTCTTGTGTGGGTCTGCCAACTTGCCGCTTACCAGAAAAGGGCATCTCCGCTCATTTGGGGTTGTCCCCAGCAGAGCTAAATCTCTGCTACACAAGAACGCTGTTGTGGGAGACTGTTGAAACGGAGTGCTTGTAGACAAGCTGCAGGCACACAACCCGGTTTCCAAGACTCACACGCACATTCTGTAGGCCATTTCACCAAAGAGACATATTTTTATACACAACTTTTCCTAACGGATGCATTTTTAACACAAGTTTTGAGCTGAGAATGGCATCACAACATTTGCGGCATCACCCGGTCTGACAGAGAACTGCATTTCACTCTGCAAATTGTTCTAAGCTGTAGCTGTTTGCTTAAAATGTGGAGGGTTGCACGTGATCGCCGTATCTTTTCTACCCTGGCCTTCTCCTTTGTCCTATGATTTCTACATCAATTTCACTCGCTCCTCCGGATGCAAATTCCTGTTGCTCCATTGTGATATCTTGTGTACTTCTCTCCCCTGGTACTTCTCCCACACACTTATTTCAGTTCTTTGTGCCTCCTCCAGTTCTCCACACGCAGCTTTCCAAGCTCAGAACAACTTAAAAGGAATTTCCCAGAGGCTGAGTAGGCTGAGACCTGCTTAGCATTAGTGGGATTTGAGCATCTTATTCTCTCAAAACCATTTCTCCGAGCCAAAAATAGTGCTTCTAAAGTAAAGCGTTAAAGAAAAAACGGAGCACAAAGACTCACAGTGCAATCCTGTACATACCTTCAAAAGCGATGGATTTCAGTGGGGTTTACTCACAAGTAAACAGGCCTCATATTCATCCTGATAATCCAACATATTAGCAGTTGTCAGTGGCTTCAGCTCTTCACCCTCCTCTAGCCCTTGAGGAGGCCTCCTTGGCCGGGTATCACTCAACAGGCAGGGAGAGAAATAAGAAGAATAGTCCAAGAATACAAGACCAGCACGATATTCTGCTCACGAGAACAGAAGCCATAAAGGAAGTCAGAACTGCCTGCTCAAGTTATAATATATATTATATAATTAATATATTTATAATATTATTATTAGTTATTTAAAATATTTGCATGCTGCCTATCGTGCCATAGCATCTCTAGGTGGCTCACAATCAGAATTAAAAACCCTCATAAAATTAATTATACACTATAACAGCAGCATCAATTAAAAAACAGATAAAATTCAAATAAGGCTGTGTGGCATCAAATATTAAAATGTTTTTTAAAAGGTAAGTCTTCACCTGGCACTGAAAAAAATATTAGTGCCAGGTGAATCTCCTTGGGGAGAGTGTTCCAGACACAGGGAGCAACAGCAGAATACTATCATGTACATCCTGCCTTTTTCCTACCAAGGGCTCAAGGCAGCTGACATCATTCTCTCCTCCATCTTATCCCCACAACAACAGCCCTGTGAGGTAGGCTGGGCTGAGAGTCTGTGACTGGCCCAGAGTCACCCAGTGGACTCCATGGCCGAGCGGGGACTCGAACCCGGATCGCCTGAGTCCCAGTCCTGTGCTCTTAACCACGACCCCACACTGGCTCTCAGATCACTGTTGCTTCTGTTCTGTACAAAGTAATTTCTTTACATCACTTATCAAGCAAGCACATGGTAAGCTTATATCAAACGTAAAACAGGAAAGCGGGTTTTCCATTTAACAAACATTGTGAACTTTTTTTATGAACATTTTTTTAGGGGGGGAGGACTAAAATGAGGACAGAGCGTGTTCAGTGGCAAACGCAGTGCAGCCTAAGCAAGTGGAAAGTGATGCGCGATGGGGCAACGCGCCCCAGCATGGGAGCTGAGCATGTTCTACTGAAATATTAGAACTGTTAGACTGTTAATTTATATTATTTTAAGGAAGTTTATGTTTGTGAGCCGCCCCGAGGCTTTGGTGAATGGGACGGCATAGAAGTTTCCTAAATAAATAAATAAATAAATAAATTATGGGGTGTCGAAATTCTTTGGTTGTTCTTAACCGTACACCTCCTCGCATGCTGCATAGCCAGCTATTAAAATTGATTAAGAAATACAGATCAGATTTTTTAAAACCCCCTCTCAAAAAGCGGGGAGGGGGTTAAGCAAGGCTTTTCAATGGTGGGCAGTGACGCAAAGGAAGCTTCCCCAGGCAGGTTCCAGCTGCACAGCTTTAAGAGACGCGAGAGAAGCCCTTGCAGGCAGAAGAAGCTTCACCGGTGCGACTTTAGCTGGGAAAACTCTCAGGGAGGTTTGCGGCTTCACCGGTTGGTTTGCGGCTTCACCGGTTGGACTGCAGCCGCACGGCTACGAGAAATTCAACCGGTACAGGCGAACCATGCGGAAAATCCACCTGTCGGGCACGTCTTTTAATATTCCGCGCCAGCCCAACAGGGGGCGCTCGCCCCGCGCCGACCGCGCCCAGCCCGCCTCCTCGAGGGGCGTCCGCCACACCGCCTGACCAGGACCCGCGCCGCGGTCGAGCGGACACGCCGCCCGCCAGCTCGCCGCAGTGGCCGCGGCTGCCCCGCGTTTCCTCCGCCTGGCGGCTGCCCGTCCCGTTCTACCTCCGCTCCGCTTTCTGTTCCTCAGGCGCCTCACTTAGCCGCCTAAGGAGGCGAGGCCCCCCCGCCGAGATGTGGCGCGCGTCATCCCGGCGCGCCGGCGGCGGCGAAGGGCCCTTTCGCGGCTTTGCCCGAAGATGGCGATGCTGGCAGAACGTGAGTGGGAAGCCGGTTCGCACCATCGCCGGGCGGCGAGCGGGGGATGCGGGGAAGCCGGCGGCCCGCGGCGGCTCTTTCGCGCACCCTGGGGGCCTGCCTGAACTCCCCTTTCTCTGTCGTGAGAACCCGCACCCCCGGTCCCGCGTCTTGCCTCCCGCAGAGGACAGCAGCCTCATGGAGGCGGGGGTGGGGTGCCGACGTCAGCGGGGCCGCGTATCCCTCCGGATCACCGTTCGAAGGCGCTCCCCGTGGTTTTATTTCGCAAACCGCCGCCGCCCGGTTGCGTTCAGCACCACGGCTAGTTCGGGTGAAATCCGGAGTGGATACACAGCCTCGCCGACCTCCGAGCCACCAGCCTCGAAACGTCCCTGTAGGAGCAGGACATGAAGTCAGTAGCTCTATTTTTCCGTGGCTCTTGAGTGGCCTACTGCACTTCAAGATGGGGGTACCATGTAACCACCCTGGCTAATAACTTTTAATAACTTCTGGCTCCTGCATAGCTAGAGATTGGGCTAGCGGGTGGAGTCACCTTTGCTAAGCTCTGTAAGGTAGGGCTGCAGACTTTCATATCCTAGTGAGAGACTTTCATGCTGAGCATTTACTGTAATCCTCCTTTGAAGCCAGCTAAGCTTTTGTGCTGTCTGAGACAGTTAAAGAAACTTTCATTTTTATATGCTGCTTGTATGCACCCAGAGGCACTCTGTATCCCGCAACTTCCTTTAGTAAACAGCTGACAAGATCCCATAGCTCAGTATTAAGCACCAGCTTTGCATGCCCAAAAGAGCTTTTTATTTTGGACCACAGACCCATTTCTGAGTCCTGTTCCCTAGACTAAACAAACCAAATGCCTCTGGGAGGTATTTTGGGTGTTTTATAAGGAGCAGAGCCTTTTGGCTGTAGTGTCCACATTGCAGAATGTTTTCCCTAGAGAGAGTTGTCCACTCACAACACTGAATCCTCATTCATTCATTCGTTCATTTATAGGCCAGTTATAACTGCCAAGGCCTTCCTTAACTGTATGTACCAAGTTAAGATCTGGCTTTTCAGTGAGGGTTTTTCAGGGAGCCTGTTTGATTTTATTCTTTTCTGCTGTATGTTTTACTATGATTTCATTTGTAGCCCTCCTTTGTACCTCTTGCAAGGAATCCAAGGTGGTTTACAAGATTCTCATCCTCTCCATTTTATCCACACAACAACCCTGTGAGGGTAGGTTGGGCTAAGAGTCAGTAGCTGATCAAAGGTCACTCAGTGGGTTTCAAGGCCAATTGGAGGCTTGAACCCATCTTACTCAGGTTAGGTGCTACCTTACCACCTTACTCCCTGGTAAGGTACTCAAATTCTTATTCCAATGCATTTATGAATTGGAATTCATACATGAAGACTGTTCTGTAGGTGAAATTAACCTTTGCTCCCACCTTTCTTGTAGCACGTCGCAGGCAAAAATGGTCTGTGGATCCCCGGAACAGCGCTTGGAGTAAAGATGAATCAAAATTTGGCCAGAAGATGTTGGAAAAAATGGGGTGGTCGAAAGGCAAGGTAAATCTACATGACAAGGAGTTATGAATTCAGAAGTGTGTGTGTGTTCACTCATCTTATTTCATTCAAGCTAGGAATCTGTGATTAACAGTTTTTTGGAAGAAATTAAGCTATTAAGCCAGCTTCAAACTGGTTTAATATCCTGCTTTGTTCCAAAACTTGTAACCATGGCGTTCCAGTTGGATGGAGCAAGAAACTGTGTTCAGTTTAGGCTTCCTGGTTCCAAAGTGTGGGCAAAATAAGAAATTATGATTAATTGGAGATCTATAGACCCAGGGATGATTGTCTGACTCTCAGAATGAGAGAGCAAGCAAGAAGGAGATCTCTGCATCCTGATATTGACATCTCTTCTATTTTAGGGATGTGGTAGCCACTTTTTTTCTGGCAGAGCTCCTGTGTTATCGACAGCTGTGTCAATGGCAGAAATGCTCCTAGGGAAGCTTTGACCCACATCACACTTTCATCCCAGCGCAATGTACCTGTTCCATCGACAGACCCAACCTGCTGCCCTCAACATGTTTTCAAGTCCAACGTTTGTAGTTGTGGACATCTGGAGGGTGAGAGCAGGGGAAAGTTGATCCGTCACATCCTTGCCAGGTTACTTCTCCAGCTTTTGCTTTGCAGTTTCCAAGGGAAGGCATCTTACAAGCTCGCTCTGCAATTTACATAAATATAGCACATAAATGTCATAAATACACAACAGTCGGAGTGAAGTGGACATGCCATATGGCTGAATCAATAGCCGCTTCTGGTGTTGCGTGTAGAATGTGGATGTTTGTCTGATGTGGCCGTGACTGCTTTTTCTATGATGCCGACTGAGTTTAGTTTTGATTTCAGTTTACTCGTACATGGAAGGGGTGAACCCAGACTTGATAGGTCATTTCTTCCAGACTAAGTTGTCTTTCATCCTAGGACAAGTAGTCAAGTTAAAACCATCTTGCTCTTTCTGATTACTGGACTTTACACTTCTGTGTAGGCTTATTTGAGGGTCAGAAAAATAATGTCTTTATTAAGACTCACCTGTATTTGCGAAAGTATGTGGGAGCTTTGTTCTGTTGAAAATTCAGCTTGAGAAAAAACAAAATATGTCGCACAGAGCTCCATTACCAGTGTTCAATTTATTTACTAAATTTTATTTACTATTACTATTCCTTTGCTCTCTTCCCTGTTTTTGAAAAAAAAAAAAAAGATGGCACAAATTGGGATGGAACAACAGTAAGAAACACATTATCCAATCCATCCTCTTGCAGGAGCAGTTTTGGGTCCCCGGTAGGTTTTCTTCCACAGCAGGTCCAACCGTTGTCAGTAATGTGAGATCCCAGCACACTTCTTGTGCAGTTAGCTGGGCCTTTGCTCCTTCCCAGGACCTTCGATGCTGAGCCTAGCTCCACAGAAAGCGTGTGAGATTCATTGGCGGGCTGCTCGGCAGCCAAACCTGAAAAACACTGTGTGAAAGGGAGCTCTGTTACTTTAAGATGCATATTCTAGCACCCTGCAAGAAGAAAAGCCCCCAGGTCTGCAGCTCCAAGGTGGATCAGGTGAAGATGCCAGAGTAAGCCATCTTGCCATTAGCATCTGGGCACATTGGTTCGGAATGAGGCATGGGGACACCCCAGGTAAAGAGTCTCATACCTCTGGCATGTTGCAGAAAGAGTGATGGGGAGGGAGGGAGGCTCAGCCCATCCGGGATGCCCAGTGCTTCAAGAAGATGCTGCTTCAAGAAGATTCAGCCTATCCTATGTGAGGACCAACAGAAAGACAAACAAGTAGCTTGCAGATGACATCAAGCCAAAGCTTTACCCAGGAGCAGAATTGGCAAAACTGAGGCTATAGTACTTTGGCACATCATAGAATTGTGGAGTTGGAAGGGACCAGAGGGCCACCTGGTTCAATCCCCCACTCAGCGCAGGACTGCAAGTCAAACCATCCCTCTCAGATGGCTGTCCAGTTCCATCCTGAACGCCTGTAGTATGGGAGAGCCCACCACCTGCCTAGGTCACGGGTTCCGTTGTCATACTGCTCTTACACGAGAGGGCAAGACTCACTGGGGAAGACAATCTTTCTAGGGAAAGTTGAAGACCGAAGAAGCACAGGAAGGCCAAATATGAGGTGGATGGACTCCATAAAGGAGCCAACAGCCTTGAGTTTACAGGAACTGAGCAAGGCTGTGAAGGATGGGACATTTTGGAGGGTGTCTATTCATATGGTCTCTGTAAGACAGAGATTGATGGCACAGAACAACAGCAAGAAAGTAGAATTTGGGAAAGAGAATCTGCCCTGCTACTGGATTTTGTTGGGTGTTGTGACTAAATAGCCCTTGACACAGAACAACAGCAAGAAAGTAAAGTTTGGGAAAGAGAATCTGCCCTGCTACTGGATTTGTTGGGTGATGTGACTAAATAGCCCTTGAACCTGTTCCTGTGGGACTGTTCTTACGATAGTCTAGAATTATCAACTTTTCAACCTCCAGTTTGCTCCTCCAGCATGTAAATAAAATTTCAGCAGAAAGATCCATGGATTAATTTTGCGCACACCTGCATGAAAGCCCTGCAGAACCAACAGCCTTCTGAATCCCACTTACTTATTTGCATTCATTCATTCATTTATGTATGTATGTATGTATTTAAATTGTATACTGTTCACTCAGCCATTTTGGCTCTTTGAATGGTTTACGCTCAATGAAATCCAAACATAATGCAATATATTAAAGCAGAGTAACAATCAATAAAACATTCTAATTAAACAATAAGTAAAACTAAAACAGTTTGCAACATAGTTAAGCAAATTGATAAACACAGAATCCGAAATAAAATGAAAACAAGAACCCGCACAGAAAGCAAAATGAAGACCTATTGTAGGTATCAGTAAAATGTCACTTGAACATTGAAATGCTGAACGGATTTTTAAAAATTGCCTGGCACCAGAGCATGTACGGTGTTGGCTCCAGGTGTACTCCTCTGGGGACCGAATTCCATAAATGAGACACCCCCACCGCAAAGGTCCTTCCCCAAGTAGCCGCCCTGTTCACCTCCTTTAACAGTGACTCCCAGGGAAGGACCTTCAGAGTTGATCTTTAGGTACAGGTAGGTGCATATGGGTCAATAAGCCTTAAAAATGAGCCCTGCTGTTCACTTTGATGTGCTTAACAGTGTATATGTTATATTTTTCTTTATTTCTTTGCATTTTTATATTCCTCCCCATTCCCATACGCTTTGGGCAGTTCACATAACCTTAAAGCCAACAATAGTTAAACTTCCACCTAAAAACAAACCTATTAAATAAAACTGATCTGGGAAGGTGTGTTGGAAGAGAGACATCTTCCACTCCCTCATGAAGGTAGCAGTCTGGGATATCTGGCGCATCTCTCCCTGGTGTCATGCATGAAGCTCCGACAGAAGCAGTGACTCACGAGGAGGACTTGTATTTGATGACCAGTGTCCAAGAATCGACCCCACAACTCAGCGTAGGGACAGCAGAGCCAGCTGCTGCGTCTTCCTCTGACTCCCAGCACGTTGAGCAAACTCCTGGTCCTTTATTAGAACCAGGGAGTCATGAGAAGGAGGAAGCTGCGAGTTCTATTCAGAAAGAGGCACAGCAAGCTGCCTCTTCCCCCCCGATGCTGATTTCCCCAAGTCAGAAACAGAAGACACAGTAGGCCTTGTGGATTTTTCAAAAGCTGAGAACGGGAGGATTTTACGTAGATATCAACAACAGCAAGATTTATTACGTACGAGAGAGGAAAGGCATGACTTGGGAGAATGATCCCACGTGGGCTTGGGAAGAGAAGTCGTTAGGGAGTAACATCTGTATAGCAAGGACCGCTATTAGAGAGCTTATCTATAGAGCTGTAAATCTTGTAGACAATTAGCATTAAAGGACTTTAGTTTTATTGCTGGTGAATGTGCGGATTGTTTACATACTGGGCTGGCAAGACATCACACCTGCTGGCCTTTCCACAGTTTAGACAGAAAAAATGGTCCTAAAATTCCCAGCATTCCCCCAGGATGGCTGGGGAATGCTGGGAACCGGGAGACTATTTTCTGTCAAATCAGGCATAGGATTGTACCCTTCACTGGGCTGTCTTGGGACTGCAGAACTGATAGGAAGCAGACTCTGGCACTGTCCGTTAACCAGAGACCGGGGGTCAGGGCGAGCTGCACCCAGTTTCCCAGTAAGGAGGAGCCTAGTGTGGTTGAGATCCATTGGCCAGAGAAGGAGCAGCTGCAGGAATCGGCGTTCTCCTGCCAGTAATGTGAGAACCAGCCACACGCCTCAGACAGGATAAATGCATTAGCAGTTCTGGAGATGCCTCAGGATACCCAGCTTGCCTTCCATTTCCACTCAGGGGCTCGGGGCGCAGGAGCAAGGCAGCACGGAGCATATCAAGGTGCGAGTGAAGAACAACACCCTGGGCTTGGGAGCATCCATCAGCCACGAGGTGAGTGAGCAGACCGGAAGGCCCCGTCAGTGCGTTCCGATGTGGAGATCGCGATTTCAGAAAGCAACAACGAACTCTTCGCAAACGTGATTTCAGTGCTCTGCCGAGCTCAGAATCCTTTGCCGGGATTTTGAGAGGCAGAATTGGCTTTGCAAAATTAGCAGACATGCGGTGGGGCTAAGTTTGCATTGCGAGATCACAGAAAGTGGATTTTTCCGTTTTGGTTTCCACAGTTCCTCTGTGGTGCACTCGCCGTGGGCTTAAGGATTTTTGGAATCCCAAGGAAAGCAATAAGCGAGAGCTCAGTTTACTTACAAGGAGAAAAGCTCTTTGTTGTGGGCAAAATACAAATTGGCTGGCTTACAAAGCGTTTGTCAGCAGTTACTTACAACGTTGGACTGCAGGGAAGGCTTTGGTCAGCTGGAACGGATGGTCAGCAAAGGCTGGGGAGAGCGCCATGTCCAGACAGAGAACAAAGGGCTGAGTCCCGTGGACAGAGACAGATTGTTCCTCGCTCTGCTGTTAGTCCTCGAGTTTTAATTAGCAGTTGGCGCTGCATTCCATTTACAGTGCACTTCCTGATTGCATAAGCACGTGAACTCATCTGCTTCAGCGTACTACAAAGTAGTGTCAGTGCAGTCTGCAAGAGGTGCAATGAACAAGCCCCTGGCCCAGCTTACATTGGACAACTGGTTGGCAGCCGGAAGCTGTTCTTTCACCCGTCTCCAGGCCCTGAGCCAAAGCACAGGACAGCACCCAGGTGGAAGCTGCAGGCTCAGAATGGAAGACGCAGGCACAGGTACGCCGAAGCAGAATACGCTCCGGTGCTTCCGCAATGATTTAGGTTGCTTGTGACTTCAGCCACAAGACACAAGCACAATTGAAACTTTACACAAAACCAAGGTCAAATGAAAGCAACTGTGTTTAGTTCAATTAACAAATCAGGGTTTGTAATTAGCTGGCAGCCAGTGCTGAAAACCATGGTTTCAACTGGTACCTGAACTGAGCTGCCAGCCCCGAATTAGGTACCGAGCCTCCGGAAGCTGCGATTCCACAGAGGCAGGGTAGGAGTGAGCTTAAAAAGCTGAACAGACTGGAAATGAAGGCAGATCGCTAGCATGCCTTGCCTGCTACAAGCGACTCCCAACCTGGGAGAATAGCAAATACAGTTCAGTGTAAGCAGGAATAAAATAATGCATGCGGGGGCAAACAACCCCAGCGTCAAGTATGAGCTTAGGTAAAGGTGGTGACTGGCCAAGAAATAGATTTTGGGGTTCTGATGGAAAATGCAGTGGAGAGGTCGGTATGGAGTACGGCTGCTGTGGAAGAAGCAAACGGAACTGCAAGTCAATCCGCCTGGGTCAGACTGCCCTTACATTAATCTGTGGTTTGACTGCACTCAGAATGCTATGTACAGTTCAGGTCACTGCACCTGGAAAGGCGTATTGTGGAGTTGGAAACCGTGGAGGAAAGGGCAGCTGAATTTGTCAGCAGGCTGGAGCAGTTCCCCAGTGAGGAAAGGCTGCAGGAGCCAAGGTGGCTCAGCTCAGGAAAAAGACATGATAGTGTCGTATGGAGTCGCGCACGGTGCAGAGGGAGACGGGCAGGGGGACACTCGTTTCCCTCTCCCATCTGGTGGGCTATCCCACGAAGTGAGGGATCAGCGGAGAGGCAAGACGGAAGAGGAGGGGGGAGTGCTGTTTCTCTCAGTGCATGATGGGAGTTGCTTCCCCGGGTTGTGGTGGTGGCCACCAGTCAGATGCCTTTAAACGGGGGCTGGCCAGAGGCACGGAGAAGACTGCCAAGGGCTACTAGCCCTGCTGGCTAAGTGCTGCCTCCAGTATCCAGTGTGACCGCGTGTGCCTGTTGCTGGGGAGTTCGGGCAGGAGGGGCGGTCGCACTCCTGTTTGTGGGGTCCTGTTTGTGGGGCCACTGGCTTGCCGCCGTGTGAAGAGCATGCCGGACTGCATGAGCAAGTGGTCTGACCCAGCAGGTCTGCTCTTAAGTTTTTATGCCTTTACGTTCTTACATCTGCGAGCTCCAGTCAAGGTTTGGCGTCCGAACTCTGGACAATACAGACCATGTTTTGGGATCTGAACTCGGTCACCGCAAAACCTGGAAGGGCTAAATGTAAGATGACTAGTGTTTGGTTTATGTTTAATAAATAAATAACAGTATTCACTGTTATATTTATTTAATACCATTTTATTTGTTTAGAAATGAATTATCCAACTGTGTGCCCGGCTTTTTGGGTGGGAGGCGCTTTCTCACTTTTGCACTACAATAAAAGTATTTTGCATTTTGCAGTGTAGAGGATCTTGTGTATGTCAAACAATGACAGTGCTAGTTAAATTCATTGTGATTCCAGGTTCTTTTCTTGGAAAAGTCAAAGTGGGTGAATTCTTCTGCAAGGAATAGTATTAGACTTTTAGCTATAGAAGAATACAGAAAAATCTGTATTCCTTTGTCCATGCATTAACTTCCAGGAAACAGGTAGATGATTCAGAAGCCCATGTACGTTGTTGTTAGTCGCGAAGTCGTGTCCAACCCATCGCGACCCCATGGACAACATTCCTCCAGGCCTTCCTGTCCTCCACCATCCCCCGGAGTCCAGTACATTAGAAAATGTAAAAGGGTATGAAAGAGTAGAAATATAAAATAGGAAGTATAAAAGAGTAATGCAGAGTTTATCTGTAGTATAACTTGCACCCAAAAAGGGGCAACCCCCGGACATTGCCAAAACACATGGTTAAAAGTAGCATTAGTGGTTTCATGCCAAGGAGTTAGTCAGCTTATGGCGCAGTCCTGTGCGAGTTTAGACCGAAAGAAGCAAAACAGCTCCAAGCACGCGTGCACTGCCGCTTGCTGTCTCGCCTCCCGTTGGAGCAGGCGCTCGGGCAACGCAGATCGTAAGCCTTCTCTTTGCATGATATTCGCAGGACAACTGGATTGCCCATCAGGATGACTTCAACCAGCTTCTGGCAGACCTGAACGACTGCCATGGACAGGACGGCCCAGGTATAGCAGTAACCCCGCAAAGCCGCTGGCGGGGGAAATCCTCTGCCGTCCATTCCGCTCCCAAAATGATGCCCGCCATTCCTTCTCTTGGCCACATGAGGGCACTGCAGCCCCTTGCACGGCAGGCAGTGTGCTTGAGACCAAAGCCAAGAACTGAATGGTTTTTATCAGCTCTCCCTATGGTTTTAAAACCGGCTGCTGTAGAGAAGGCTCTAAAACAGATCAGGGCTGGGTGGGTGGGTGCTTATCTACTCCAGCATTCTCGGTCTCACAGCTGCTTGCAGGAGACCCACACGTAGCATATGGAGAGGCAGTGTGGCGTAGGGAGAGGCAGTGTGGCGTAGTGGTTAAGAGCGTGGGACTGGGACTCAGGCGATCCGGGTTCGAGTCCCCGCTCGGCCATGGAGCCAACTGGGTGACTTTGGGCCAGTCACCGACTCTCAGCCCAACCTACCTCACAGGGTTGTTGTTGTGGGGATAAGATGGAGGAGGAGAAGGATGTCAGCTGCCTTGGGCCCTTTGGAGGAAAAAGGCAGGATATATATCGGAAATAAAATAAATATGAGTGCGGTCACAGTCTCTGTGCAAGATGTCTGCAAGACCTCAGTTTTATTCCTTTGCCACGTTTCTAGGCTGCCTTTCGTGGCAGGAGCGCCTTCAGGGTGCCTGGCCACCACAGAATTCACTGTAGCACAAGACTGGTAGAGTAATGAAGCAGCCATCATTTGTGGAAACAGGAAGCAGAAAGAAGCAAACCCCTAGGATAAAATACTGGCTTAGGCAGCGCTTAAAGCCTGGAAGAGTTAAGTGAACCATCACCGGGAGGAGGGCAGGCTAAAGAAAGAAGCCTTCTGGGCCTTCCAGAAAGGCTCCAGTGCTGGGGAACTGTTGCAGCCTGGGGCTACCACTGTGAAGGCCCTGCCTTGCGTGGATGCCAGTCTTTCAGGTTGCAAGTGTCTGCCAGCTTAGTTAGGCCCATTATCTTCTCCCCTGTGGTTCATAAAACAGGCAGTTGAGCATCCTTTTACACCTGTTTTCAGGTGTACTCTGTAGGTATTTTAGGCTCCTGCCTAAAAAGATAAAAATGTGAATGGCTCCAACAGACAAGAGAGAACCGAGAGCAACTTGCAAAGACGTCCTCTGCTGCATTCTGTTCTCCCAACAGCCCTGTGAGGCTGAGTTAATGGCTGGCCCAGAGTCACCCTTTAAGCTTCATGGCTGAGGAGTGTGTGAGAAACTGGATCTCCCTAGACCCAGTTTGACACTAACTACTAGGCAATATTGTTCTGCAAAGGCAGTAGGGCAGTGTAGGTGTTTGCCTCGTGCAACCGACAGCATCTCCACAGCCCAGTAGTACCAACCCACGGCTTGGCTTAGTACGATGCACCTTGCTATGTTCCTTTCTCATGTTTGTGTTCCAGAGGCGACAACTACAGAGGAAAAGAAATTTAGCCTTGAGGAGAAATCCAAGACTTCCAGGAAAAGGGTTCACTATGTGAAATTTGCCAAAGGTAAGGTGGAGACAGCTAAAATGAAACAAACCAGGTCATGTCAATCATATTTTTGGTCATGTCATATTTTTAGGGTGGGGAAAAGAATTCAATAAAGTCTATGTATTGTGTTCTTAAATGCCATATTTGAGTAAATTTACAATGAATCCTGAGTATTATTTTCTTGGAAAACTAGTCAAGGTTGATGAGATATGATTCAATGCTGCTTACATTTTAAATGCTAAGAGCAAAATGAAGAAGCTGAAAATGGTCGATGCACTGGAGGTGTTCGGTGGATATGTAGGCATGTCCTAGGTAAAGTCCTCTTGTAGGATGTTTGGGTTATACCTTTGAAAATGCAAGAAGATACAAAACCAATTTATTTACAATTAAATAGAGCATTACAATTTCTGGCGGGTGGTGGGGGAACCAGTCGCTGGTAGTAGAATGAAATATTACGGGCAAGATGTTATAAGTAGGTTTCAAAATTCCTATAGAAAAAGGATAGTTTTGTCCTGGCACCAAAATGACAATACTGACGGCTCCAGGCAGACTTCTCTAGGAAGCCAATGCCAAAGGTGGGGGGCAGCCACCAGAAAGGCCCTCTCACTTTCTTTAGGGATGGCTGGTTTAGAAGGACCTCCTGCCCAGACCTCAATGGGTGGGTCAGTAAATATGGGGAAAGGTGGTCCTTCAAGTAACCAGGTCCCAAGCTATCCAGGGTTTTATAGGTTAAAACAAGCACTTTAAATTGGGCCCAGGCTTCAACTGGCAACCGATGCAGTTTATATAGAATAGGTGTTACATGAGCACATGAACTGATACATGATACCAGATGTGCAGCCCTCTTTTGGACCATTTGATGTTCCCAGACCATCTTCAAAGGCAGCCCTACATAGAGTGCGTTAGAGTAACTCAGTCGGGATGTTACCAGTGCATGAGTAACCATGGTCAGGCTCTGTCTGTGCAGATAAACCATATTTGTCATATCCACCACAGCTGAAAAAAGGCATTCTTGGCCACAGCGTCCACCTGGGGCTCCCAGGATGGTTTTGGGTCCAGGAGCACCCCCAAGCTGCGGACCCTGTCCGTTAGGGGAAATGCAACCCCATCCAAGACAAGGCAGTGGTCACCCATCCTTTCAGACAGACCATCCACCAACCGCAGTTCCATCTTGTCTGGCTGAATTTCAGTTTATTGACCCTCATCCAGTCCATTATCGAGTGCAGCGACTGCCTCATCTGGCTTAGATGTAAACAAGAGGTAGAGCTGAGTTTGGTCATCAGATTGCTGACCCCTCAGCCCAAACGTCCAGATGGCCTCTCCCAGCGCTTTCATATAGATGTTGAAAAGCATTTTTCATATTATCATTATTTAAAATGCCTCCTTTCTCTTTTTCCCAGTTCTAGTTGTTTGACACTTTTCTGCTGCTTTTATATACAATTGCCATTGTTACTTTTACTGTGGCTGCTTGGTGATTTTAATCTCTTGTAAAGCTGAATCTAGGGGAAAATAGTTTCTAAAGGGCAAGAAATATAGATGCACCTTTGCCTCCAGCCTGTTTTTAGCCCTCAGGGCCGAGAGAGAAAACTACAGGCGAATAGGGCTGAAAAGATCTAAGAAACAGATCTGAGTAGATCTTAAAAACAGGAGCAGGAGCGGACAAGAACTTCCAGTCAGATGCTGCAGAGGGCATAGAAGCTCAGACAGTAATTTATCCCTTGACTATACAGATTAAATCGGCCACAGATAGGTATGAATAGTCAAATGTACTTTATTTGCCCACATGAAAAGGTTGCAGAATCCAGCAAGGTTTTCTGTTTCTTTTAAGCCTTGAAATGGGTGGAAACGGCACAAGGTGTTCTTAACAATCTTGGTGGAGAAACTTTTAAAATTCTCCCTTGCTTTAAGCACGCTCTACGCACTGGTTCAGCGTCTGTTCCCAAGACCGCAAGTGACTGTTCCTTTCTGTTTGCCCTCTGCCAAGGCAAAGATCTCTCTTCCCGAAGCGAGGATGACCTGTCCTGCATCTTTGGGAAACGCCCAGTCAAGAAAGCACAGGTATGTGATTCCTTTGATCATGTTTTTCTCCCTGCAGGCCGTCCTTGTTGCGAAAGGCAGTTCTTGGGTGTGTGGAATCCTTTAGGAGTGAAGGAGAAAGCGGCCTTTGGCCACCAAAACCACCTCCCTCTTTGGGTGCTCAGCTTTCTCTGCCCGCGTCCCTGTCACAGAAGGCTAACTAGCAAGGGGCCAGAGGTAAATAATTTACCACGTAGGTTGTCAGAGGTGTGCGCAGCATCGCTTTGACAATGGAACTGGGATGCGCCAGTCGGACTGGGAGTGGATTATCAGTTGCAACATCCATGAGCACAGGATAAAGTCATCAGCTGTGGAAGCTGCTGAAAGCTGATTGGCCTGGCTGGAGATGTGAGGCCAAGTCTTGTGTATTTTATCTGCTGCTTAATTTGCATACTTCCCAGCCTTTTGGGTGCGGATCGAGTGCTCAATGCAGCCCTGGAATTCTCTGTGTCAAGTTGTTTGTGATAATGGATGTGAAAGCGGGTCAGACAATTCACGGAGGAGAACTATGTTCATATCAGTTAGTCATAACAGAGAGGCCTGCAATAAAAAGTTGCAGCACGGAGCGCTCTCTTCTAGTGCCTGCCGTTTTCTTCCACCCACTCTGTAGCAGTTTTCTGCTTCTCCTTTCAGCAGTTGTTTGGCAGGCTCTTCTGGGTCCTTAGGGGAGGTTCGCCCCCTGTAAATCTGACTTTTTACCTGCCAGCAAGGCCAGCCTTCGGGGGTGATCCGAGTCGCAATCCACCAACATCTTGGCCACTGCAGGTGCTTCAGCTGAAGTATGCAGGATGGACAGCACGGGGGGGGGGGGTAGGGGGGTGTTCAGGCCATTCCTAAGAGGCTTCCAGCAACACAGAGATGGTCCGTCCGTTTCACCCATCCCAGGGACTCCACTTCCGCATTGTTGTCATCGCATGGCATTTATATCCCTCCTTTCTCCTCCTCGTGAGGAAAGCAAGGTGGCTTTCTTGGCTCCATTTCACCCTCCCGACGCCACCCCTGCGAGGTGAGTTGGGCCGAGAGCCTGTGCTTGGCCCAAAGTCACCCAGTGAGCTTCATGCCACTGAGAGACTCGAACCCAGATCTTTTGGGTCCCCAGTCCTGCAGCCTTAATGACCACAGGGGTTCCCTTGAGGCAGCTGCTCCTGACAGACGGTTTGGTTCTAGACTGACTTGCCTGAGGAAGCCAAGGGGAGCCAGAACTCTGGTGCATGGGAGGAGACAGACATCGGGCAGCTTGTCGCGCTGCAGGTGGCGGGAGCGTGAGGCCTGCTTGCTTGAGCGCCGCCTGCCGCCTTTGGAAGTGTGAGTCATACCAGGGCATTCCTTTGCCGTGATTCATGGAGCTTTGCTGGTCCTTCTGGTCCAGCCCCCAAGGCAGCGGAGGTGAGGGTGCCGGGGAGACCGCCGCGGGCAGCGCCCTCCCCTCCAGCCGTGCCAGAGGTGGCAGCTCGCTTGGCACGGAACAGCGTGCCTGGCCTGGGATCCTGGAGTGTGTCAGGGTCGTGCCGGAGAGGACCGGGAAATGCCGGCTGCGGGGGACCCACTATCTCTTCCTGCCACAACAGGGAGAGCCCTGGTGTCCATCAGGGCCTGAGGCTCTGCCGTGGGTCAGAGGCTCACCCGGCCGGCTTTCCAGCAAAGCTGTGTCCACGGGCACGAGCTGAGCTTGCTGTGGGCGGATCGGCTGGGAAACACCCCCCTCCGCCTGCCGCTGGTTCGATTTGCAGCCCCCAGACGTCGGGCCTTGCCCGGCAGTGATGTCTGCCGTGAGACTGCCCCAGGCGGGGCGATTGCCCCCTTGACTTACCCAGTTACTGCTTGGCTGGTTACATAATCTTTATCTGTTCGCAATCCCAGTGGGAGGCAGGGATGTCGGAATTTACCCGAAACAGCGGTGCTCTGCTTAGAGAGAAGAGCCCGCTTCCCCACAGGCCCTCCCTGAGGGGTGGCCCTCCAGATGTTCCGAATTGCCACCCCGGCATTCCTGGCCGCTGGGGCTGCTGGGAATTGAGGCGGCAAGTTGGGCAAGGCAGATCTCTGAGCAGGAGCCTCCCCGTTCAACCAGTTGCTTACTGGGACTTCTCGCTCCCCCGTACCCCCGTTGAGGCTGCCAAGTCCAGCTGTTCTGGAGCTCGTGGGCACAAGGCGGGATGTAAAGGCGAGGGAGACATGATGGAGACGTTTAAAATAATGCATAGCGTGGAAATGTGGAGCGGGGGAGATTCTTCTCCCTCTCCCGTGACACGTGCACCCGGGGCCATCCCATGAAGCTGATTGCCGGGAGGGATAGCACTGATAAAAGGATTTTTTTTCTTCCCTTCACACAGTGTAGAGTGAAGCTATAGACTTCGCTGCCGTGGGAAGGGGTGATGGCTGTAAACAGGGATTGAACAGATTGTGGCCTTCCTGCAAATACTTTCTGCTCTGTTTTTTACTCATTTCCCTGGCATTTTAAAGCTGCAGCCTCATCTGCATTTCCTAGGTAGTCCTTTCCATCGGTGCCTTGAGTTGGCGGTGGGGGGAAGTCCCATAAAAGTCAGTGGCATTTACTCCTGAGTCAGTCTGCCTAAATGGAGGCTGTAAGTGCCCAGCCAGTTCGCTTTCTCGCCACTATTTCTTCGTCCTGTGTTGTGGTCCCGATTCAGATCAGGAAGCACCTCCGTCACGCGCATGCTGTTTTGCCCCCGGTGCAAGCCTCGGGGCTTTCCCCTGCCCCCGTCCAGACTGGGCAGGGTGGCAAGAGGGGCGAGTCCTCCTCCTGCTCGGCACACTCCCGCCCGTATCCTATCCAGGCCAGGGGCCCAGGGTCTGCAGTTTGAGAAGCTACTCGTGCCATGGACAATGTCATGAATGGGGCTTCATTTTTTTGGCCCTTTGTGGCTGTTTCCGGGATGCAGCGGTCCAAGCCAGCCAATGCAGGCATCTTTCCCCACGTGTCATGGTCAAGAAGCAAGTTTTTGACCTCCCGGCAGCTCTGTGTCTTGTGGATTACGTGCTGCCTGCTTTCCCAGAGGCGGCCTGCCTGCATCCCCCAGTTGCTGAGGAGCTTGGGCAGGGGGTGGTCTTGCCGCCATCCCGCTGGAGGGATCCTGGGGGCAGCTGGCTGGCCCACATGTGTACAGAGTGCCAGACTGGATGGACCTGGGGTGTGATCCAGCAGGGCTGTAGGCAAGCAGCTGGAGGGGAAGGCGGGGGGAGGAGAGGTGCAGATCTTCCATTCCACGTCCTAGGATGGGAGTGGGCTTTCTTCGTGGAGAAGCTGCATTCCACGTGCACAAGCCCCAGGCTTTTCCTGCCAGTAACTAATTCGAAGGAGGGGCATTTCCACAGTTCAAAGTGGGGAGTGGGAAAATGCCTGGGGGTCAACAGAAGAGGGTGGTGGTGACCCCAGGGGGTCACAACTTGGCCCCTGCCGCGGCCCAGCATTCCCACTCATGTGGTGGAGCAACCAGAAAAGACCCACCGGAGGAGGGGGGAGGCCAGGGCCAAGGTGGGTCACGCCTGGCAGGCCTCCTGGAGACCTTCCGCCCCATGTGCTGATCGCCGGCTGAGACAATGGGGCAGCGTTGTCTCCCTGGCTGCAGCAGCCCGCAGTTGCTGCCCCATTGTGCACCTGCACCCATTTCAGGACCCCCAGCCCACCCCACCCCACCCCTTAGTTTTCCCAGCTGCTGTGGGTCAGGCCAGAGGCGGCTGCAGCATCAGGAGCTGCATGTCAGTTGGCGCCACCTAACCCTCTGTCGCAGGGTGGTCTGGTGTCAGGGCGGCCTTCCCAAGCAGCTGCCCCCTCCCCAGATGCGTTGGACTACCGCGACCATCATGTCCAGCATGATGGGCTTGGAAGGGACTGGGAGTCCCGAGTGGAGAGCCCCATTCGGCCACCTTTCAACCTGATCTACCTGGCATGGCTGTTGTGAAAATAAATGCGGGCCGTGTGCCATTGTTCAAGAAAGGGAGAGATAAAAATAGGATTGGTAATAACACCGTTAGTCCCTGGAAACATAAGAGCATCCCTCTCGATTTTTCAGTCCTCTTTTTCTTTCTTGTCTCTTCCCGTTTTCTTTCTTTTTGGCTCTTGCTGATTGCCTTTCGCACGCCTGTGGCTCCTCCTTTGAACCCAGCACCTCAACTGCAGCAGCGGCTCTTGCGTGCTCCGCCTCCTTTCTGCCTCTGGCACAGGGTTGCAACAGGCCAGTCGACCCTTTTCCCGGCTAGCCGCTCCTTCCCCAGGGCTCCACTGCAGCAGGTATCCATCCCACCACCCCTTTCGCTTCAGCCCAGTTGTTTGCAAACATGTTGGCCTCCTTCCGACCGGAGAGCTCCTTTCCTTCGAGACAAATGGCGAGGCTAAACGAAGCTTAATAAGCCACAGGGTCGGGGCAGGTGAGCCTGCCTTCCTTGATACTTATATTTTATATAACAGTCTCAAAACAAAGGCTGCTGCCTGGAGCGCACCTAAATTGGAATTGTCGGCACTTTTCTCGGGGAGACAATGAAGCCACTGCAATTATCGATTGCCCGTTAGGCGGGTCTCCTGAGGCTGCAGGGCAAGGGCCTGATCCAAAGTCCAGAGCGGCTCTTCTGTCAAGGACAGGGAATTTATTCTGCATCTCCTTTCTCCCTCTTAAAACTCATTCTCTCAGGAGCCAAAAACCACATTCTCTCTGTTCCTATCTGGTTGAACTTCCTGGAACCCCCTTACTAAATATATAATATAATATTATTCTCGGTGTTTCCTTCCTCTATCCAGCTGTATTTCCTGATGAGGCCCTTATCACTGGGGAAAGTGTTCCTGAAAGACTAGGATTTGGGACTCAACCTGGGGTGGGGACCTGGCTAAACATAGTTCTGGTTTAACTGGGGGGCGGGGGGGCGTGCACATTCGTACGAGTTCTTTCAAGCGGCGTGTCTGGTCATCGCTGGCGGCAGGGACAGGTGTTGCGGTCCAAGGCATCAGGAGGCACCAGGCTGGGGAAGGA